CTTAACAGCACAATATAGAAAACATTAGTATGATAAGTTAAAGTTATGTACTATCGTTTTAAATCGAATTATATAGGCAGGTTGTTAATAATGTACAGATTACCTTTATGAACCTTTATGAATGAAAAATTAATTTATACAAAATCGAGACTGTCCGCGCGGAATGAAAAAAAAACTTAATTAGTAGTGTTCTTCCAGACTATTTTTTATATCTACGCCAAATTTTAGCGAGATCCATGGAAACTTTCTGGAGATACCTCCTAATAAACATCTGCATTTATAATATTAGTAAGAAGTAACATAGTAAGAAACGTATTGTACTCGATCGTTTACTTTCCTTAAGTTTCCAAGCAAAATATTATTTATTTTTACTCAGTAGGCTTAGACTATGATCTAGCTATTTTTTACAACGAGAAAGTAAAGCAAATGATCCGTCTCTATTTCAACTTTCTACGATTGTCAGTGCGTCTGTCTGCAAAAAGTATAATAACCAGCTCTATTACTGCGACCTAAATTGTAGAGGTTGACGCACCGAGACGTCACACATTAGTTTGTACAAAGATTCTACAGTCGTGTCGTCCTAAATTAACAATACGCATCCCTAAATATAGCTCAATACGTCATGATGTACACTTTTACTTTGTTCGTGAAATATTTGAGCAATCAATGCCAGATAAGAAATCAGTAACTAAACAAACCGTGCGTAGTATAGAAGCGCAAAATTTTCTATCTATTTAGTGTAATATTAATGTTTTATCAAGGAAATACAATTTATATATCCATATGTACGAGTATGTAGTGTAATAGGTCTATAGAGACATACTAAGAATATTTATCCTAAAAATCTAAATTTCAATTATGGAGATGTTACATTATACCATGTACCATCTTGATCGCGAGCCATATTTCTCCAGTCCTATCTATCAGTACGATTGATCGGAACGAGTCGGGCTTTTAAAGTCTGAGCACTCGCAGCGTGGGAATTAAAATGTAATGCCAAACACTCGCGGCTATTGGGGCATGGCTAATATTTTTTTTTTTAAAAAGAGTCAGTGGTGTTCTACTTGCGATCCGATTAAAATAAGTACTATTCTAAGATTTTAAAGTATATTTGTAGAACCTTATTAGTAAGAGGTCAAACAAATAACTGATGATATATCACTTATAATATAACGAGAATTTCCAATGTGTGAATTATTTATACTTGTCCGCCGGGACTACGTCCGCGCGGAACGTAAAAAAGAAAACGTAACAAATAGCCTATGTGTTCTTACAGACTATATTCTACATCTATGCCAAATTTCAGCGTGAGCCATGCAGCCGTTCTGGAGATATCTTCTAACAAATATCCATCCTTCCAAACATCCAAGCATTCGTTTTTAAGATATTAGTAAGATTTAATTTGCATTTTTTTTTAGTTTTGCAGGAAAATAAACTACGACCCGAAGGCGAAGTGTTAGTCAGCCCTGTCTTGGATTTGATACGGCCATTATTCCGCGAGGCATTGTCCGATAGACCCCTTGCATTATGGCAGATCGGTATGAGTCATCGTGAAACTGGCCGTATAATCTTTTATTTATTTACAACATTCAACAGATGTTATATTAAAAAAAGAGTTATGGACTCCGTGTATCGTCAATAAACATATTATAGAAACAAAATAAATTGTTGGTTAAAAGAAAGGCTCCTAATTAGGATAAAGAAATCCTCATTAGACCAAATGTCACAAATACAACTCAAGAGTCGGTTAATGGTCAGTAAGCGGTCTTTCAGTATAGATTTGTTATGAGAAATCTACACTGAGGATCTATTGAACTAAACATTAAAGACTATGAGTGTTGCAGTATAAATAAAAAACAATTAAAGCAAATCAATGCACGAGTTTAAAATGAAACGATGATAAACGAAACAATGTTTTGGTTTAGCGCCGTGGTGTGCTCTATTCCAGGCCAACTGACTCACTCGAGCGCGGGGGACACCTGCGTAATGTCGTGTCGACAAGTGCTATACCGAATAGATTATGAGTGACAGTACGGAAGTAAAAGATGGTTGAGAAGTGAAAGACGTTAAAATTACACTGAGCAAAATATAAATGTTAATAAATGGTATCTAGTTTTATTAAATCCCGTGTGTAGAATGCATTGACAAATTTAATTCAGATTGCAATCATTTTGGACAATTGCATTTTAATGTTAGTTTGACGTTGACTGTACGATCATGGATCGTATTAAACCAGAATGACTCACATGATGTGTGGCATTACACAAGGTGCAAGTACAGTCAATAACAGATGCGTTTGCGCCGCGTTTTGCCGCGCCTCTTATCATGAAATATTCATAACAAACCAGGTGGTGTCTTAATTTCATATAATTAAAAATATTCATAGTGTAGGATGCGTAAGCGGAGGATCGCATTGTGGAAGACCTATGTCCAGCAATGAACTAACAGGCTAATGATGTTCAACGTCTAAAAACAAATTAATATGCATTACATATATGACAAATACATTTTAAATTTAAAACACTCTCCAATAAAGGCAGGCGCCACAAAGCTTAAATAATGGAATTTATTGTGTGCTAATTATAAACATTGGATACACTGCTATTATGGAACCGTGGTTCGCATTCTTCGTGGAGTGTTGGCTGAAGAGCAACACATTCCGTTATAAAGCTGTACGCTACGACTACACGAAATGGATATTTTGTTATTGTTACCGTTTTATAATTAATGACGCTTAGGCTGAGCCAAAATAACTTCTATACGAGTTGATTTAATTACAAAGGATTAAAGTAGCATTTACCTCTGTTAATTAGCTTTTCACCACATTCAACACCAAACTATAGGTGGTGTAATTATAAATGAAGGATTCGAAAACCATTAGTCTGACAAATACTAAGGAAATACTGGTATAAAATCATCTAATGAGGAAAATAGTTGATATTATTGCACTTTCAACTCGAATAAAAAATTTCAATATACGTTTCCCTCTACGCGGGTGACAGTGACACGCGCGGTGGCGGGAAATCTGACAGAGCGCAGAGTATACTGCGCTGTAACTGCGCGCCAATTATAAATAACGCACGCTCTCACTCGCGGTCGTTACTACCGCCGTTTGTTGGTCAATTACAACCTAGGTCAAGAGCATTTAGATTTCAAGTATTTTGACCTTACTGGGATAGACAGCTATCAAATAAAACATTATGACACATTCTACCAATTGACATTACCATTATTTCACCTAGAGCCGCCGTTATGTTTACCCAAATATTATCTTAATCCAATTGCCATTTGGTTTTTTTGTTTTAATAAACTCTGTCTACTTATAACGAGCAGCCATTTCCTGGTCTAATGTAAACTAATATTGTAAAATAATGCACAGTTTTTATAATTCGCGTCGGTCTTCGCTAATATTCTATCATACGGCTTCCATTTCTTATCGACATGAAAGGCACAGTCGACGGCGAACATATATATGTTCGCCGTCGACTGTGAGTTGAGTTAATGCTAGACTGCTTTCCATTGCCTTGCTGAAGTTTCACAATAATGTAGTAATGTAAATGAGTTATCCATTTTTTTATTGTTTTTTTAAAATGGTAATTAATTTGATAATTCCAAAAAAGTATTAGTAATTATATGTATGATTATGTAATCTAAAAGAGTTCAATAAAATGTTCTTGCTACCAAGTCAAAAGCGGATAAAAAATATGAAAGTCGTAGTTGTTACGTATAACTACTTTTTTAATAAATTTGATTTACATTTTCCCAATCCGGTAATAATAACTCGAGGTTCCTGAGGGGCTCGAGCTTAGTTACTGTTAAACGAGGTTTAGGTTGAGTGCCATCTGCGCTCGGCCACGTCAAGCCCGGTGAAGCTGTAAATGCCTCCTCCTCAAGGCAAACAGTGGTAATTCAGTCACAATATATATATTATATATAATTTGTTAGTAAAATGTAAAATGAAACATAATGTCTGACTACTGGTAAAATTTTCATGTTCTTATAAAATTGTTTCTCGTAAGTGAATTTTGTAAATTCTTGGAGAAATAAAGATCTTAAACCATATATATTACATTGCTATTATGGACGGAAGTTTGTTCATAAATGATCTTGTCTGTTAAACTGCATCTATCGTCGCATCGCACTGCAGGCCACGAGCCACCCACATCAAACAACTCATTAGGCTACCCAAATAGAGCGCAGTTAAACGCAACCCGACAGCCACACACCATTGATGTCCATGTCACCGGCAAATCGTGAACGTCGCGGGTTTGTAATTTGCCTAGGCAAATAGTAAAGTGAATTTATGCCTTGAAGAAATGCGCATCTCAAATGCTTTGTCACTCGAGGTCGATACAGAGAAAATAACTACTCTTAATTAAAAAAAATGTCTAAATTTTTTCGCGTCGCGTCGCGTCTTTACAATTTATTTAGGCAAATTACAAACGTGCTGTGTTTACAGTTTTCCGGTGACATCTCTAACCGAATTAGGTGCACGTTAAGATGTTTAATAACCGACGGACTGTTTTGAACCAAAAGCGCGGGTTAATTTTAGAAAATACACCGCAGTAAACATCCGGTTGGTGGATTGAAAAGACTTCATTTAACTAACGAAATACGACACGAATAGTCTCTCAGCAAATTAACTATAATATAAATTAATTAAGCAAAAAACCTTAACATTAATAATTTATATTGGCTTTTAAGAATCGTTATTACTGCCCTAACTATTTAAATGAATTTTCAGCTTATTGGTTTGTGAAATATTTTATGAAATGTAATAAAAAGCTATAATATAATAAAAATAAAAGATTAATTCAATTTTTCTACGTTTCAAATTTACTTGAAATGAGTTACTAAATAAAAAATGTAATTATTTATTAACACTAGCCGCTATCAAACGGTTCTTTCACCCGTAAACATAAAAAAACAAAACACGCATAAAAGTCGCGATTTACTAATCGATGCAACTGCCATGAAACAATAGATACATTCGCCGGTACCTGAAATTTTCACAAATACCCGCTTCGATGTTTACTCCATTATTGTTACACCACTCAAGCGGAACACTTTCTAACCACAAACAACTAACATATGAAAAAATAAAAAAAAAAACGAACACCGTTTAATTAATTCATAGCACTGGCACAGTGGAATAAAGGAAAAATATTTGAAAGTTTGAATTTGGAAGCGGGTGCATACGGCGCGCGCAGTTCCCGCCCGATGCGGCGAGCGACTGAGCACGTTGTTGTGCGTGCGCAGCGTGAACAACGCATATGTACGCGTATATAATTAAAGTTACAAGACTTGACTGTAATCGTATTACTTAGATAAAGGCATTTTCCACGAAGGTTTTTTACTATTAGATAAGGGATGTTTAGGATCAAATAAAAATGAAAGTCCCTTACGATGTTAATTGCCGTAATTCCATTTCGTAATACAAACCGACCCAAAAAGAATTCACTTCAATATTCGTGCTTTTAGCAGTTTAAAACAGTTTCTATCTTTCCATTTGGGCATTTTAAAGATAAAAGCAAATAATGGATAGTCATTTACAACTACTCATTCAACTTCAATTGGTAATTTTTTAAGTTTTCTACTGAATTTCGTTTTACCAAATTCGGATAATATTACCAGTTAGTCAATAACGCACTGGGATTGTGTTTCATGTGCAATATTGGGTTTGTAATTTCGGAGTCAACGACTGTGGTTAATTAGAATGTACAGAGAAAATATCTTATTTCATATACACGATTACTATTACTTTTAACAAAATAACCGTGGTTTCTTAATTTACAATAAATTTTTATACATGTGTTTAGACAGTAGAACCTCAAGGATAGGGTACATGAGTGCAGTAGACGTATTTACTGGTATATTTCTTCGTTTCGCACGATGAACATACATGGGTCACGGTAGAATAAACGGCCCTTCGTCCCGTTGCCATTTTGCAATCAAAACTGTGTTTTCTTTGTTTGCTTTTTTGTATTTGAGTCTTATTGGATTTCATTTAAATAAATTGTTATTGGTAAAAGATTATGATTCTTTGATGGTTTTCCTTTCATAACTTTCCTATAAATCAGTCCCACTAATAGCTCACGAGTTGTCAATCAAAGCGAATGGAAGTAATATAAAGATAAATTAAATAGAAAGTTATATGTTGGCAGAGAAAATACATTAAATGTTGTAACAATAATGTTAACGTTCTTTTAAATCTTCAAGACTAATGTAATAGTTGTTAATAGACATATTTAATACCTATCATAACATTCAAACTATATTCACGTATATATAACACGCGTGGTACTGTTTGATAGTTTACAAATATAAAAACCCGGTGAGAAGGTGCGTGCTAAAAGGCCATAGAGTTGTAAACAGTGGGCTCAGGATCCATCAGTCTATTACAATCATTACCAGAGCATGCAGACATCACGTAAGAAAGCGCATAACCAGCCGTACCGTTGCGACTAGGTTCACCATCATCTTTGTAAGTAAAGAGTCAAGAAAAACTATCACAATCGAAAAATCGATAAACCCGGACACAAGAAAAAAAGCCACATAAATATCCTATTTAAAGCTATAGTAGCCAAAATACAAACTCGATTATTTCGAGTCATGTCTAAAGAAGTTTTGGCCCTTAACATGATTTTATCAGGACCACTTACATTTTTTAACAGAAATACAATGTGATGAACTCAAACTGATTTATATATGTTAGGCTAGTACACTTGACTATAATAGCTAACCTACTAAATAAATTCTGAGCGTTTCTGCACGGTTGACAATTTCATTGATGTCTGACAATTACCTTAATATTTGGACACCCTATCTGAGCGATTTGCATTCACGCACTGAACGAGTCGATTAAACGAATGCGATAGTTAATTAGCCGCTTACGATTACGTTCAGGATCTTGAACTCAATTTCTCTAATAGTAATTTGTTGCTTAGACCTCATAAGATGCGCTTCATTGTGCTTCTTTATAATACGTATTAACGCGACTTGCTCCGGCATCGTTTAAAATTATTAGTAATTTATATAAAGTTTCAAGATAAATTACAGTTTACATTATGTGAACTATATTTAACTTATTAGAAGAAAATATTTCCTTGTTTCATAATCATGTTGCCCAATACGCGAAAACTGCATGCGTAAAATAAAGAATGTTTTCTTGCCCTACTGAAATAGGGGAACGAAAAAACTCATCATGTCACAGGGCTACGGCCCTCGGAGCGATTAGGTCGCCGACCCTTGGAGGGTGTGTCCTAGTAATTACCGTACGCGGCAAGCCCTGGATTTAGGGTTGTCACTGATGACAATGTGACGTCATAAAGGAATATAGTGAATGATCAAAGCCCATGCCATGTGAAAACTAAGGTTATTTTGTAAATAAGTTTTACACGGAAAAAATTGTAGTAGTATCTATGTTAGTCTAAGGTTACTTATGTTACCTAGTAATCTATTGAAGGCTAGTTGTAGTCCGTAAAGACTAGTATTAAAATTGTATATTAATAAAATATTTGGAATACATTAAGAATATCTTGGTAAGACGAAATACACTTGTGACAGTCGGTATTTGAGAGTCGTCTTCTCTAAATCTGTTAATCAAAATTTGGCAACCCTATTCTAGGGGACTCACTTCCGTGTTCTAATTTACAGCATTTCCGGTTATTTATGCGGGGTCAAAACTCGCAAATGTCTTAATGTTACATTTACATAAATCTAGCATTTTATTATATTGTGTTATAGTGTTTATTGCAAATTATTATTACTATATTTAACGTAACATCACAGTAGAAAGAATCCTTGTATTTAGGGTAATCTTATGAAAATGCATGGATATAGTTTAAGTCCGACTTCCTTCTAAACTTAGTGTAAATAAATTTATCAGTTTATGGTCAGCAACAAAATGTAATCATCATTTATCTACATGCACTTTAACAGTAAATTCAGACTCCACCAAAACTTTGCTCATAAAAACTTTCAGTCACTTTATGCAATTGGCAAAGGATAGAAAACAAACAGTGGGGTTATAACGCTATTATTAGGCCACAGCGCAGTTTTCCATAAATTGTGCAAAATTTGCCGCAGTGTGCGTCATTTCAACCTTATTTATGTAATCAATTTATATTATTCCTGAATTATATGAACCTAATTCTTTTAAAAATAATCGCCTTAACTTTTTCATGCAAAATAAAATAACACAAAACCGAACACGTGTATGTATAAAACACACACACATGCAAACGAGTCATCAGAAATACGATCACACAACTAAAAAGAGAGATAGAAAAGATCACACACGATTGTCTAAATATGTAAGGCGTTTTTAGCGATGCAAAGCTTTGACATGTCTTGAATTTAGGGCACAGACCTAGTTTATTTTATGGCATGACATTATCAAGAAAAAAGGACTAAAGAACAGTTATGTGTCGCTTAACCTATATGTTTAAGTTGGAAATAAGAAAAATTTTAGATACTAAACAGCATGTTGTTGAAAGATTGCAACATGTAATGTGAATGTTGTTCGAATTCATAGTTGCATGTTTCTTATTATTGTAATGTGGTAACACTGAGTTAATTTGTCATCAGTAAAAAAAACGCTCGACAGAAATAACGGAATGCATTTTTTGTATACATTAAATGCGGGTGCGACGATAACAATTCATTTTTTTATTTGTATATCTGACGATTAATGTTTTTTTTAATTAGTATACCCTCATGTTACTTTATGTTATCGCAGTGAAGTTTTCTAACATTAATACATATGTCTAAAACAAAAGCATAGATTAAATTAGAAAAATAAATGCTAGTTTTTTTTAATTATTACCCGACTGAAAATAGAGTGTTGTATTCGCGGGTATTTGTTTGTTTTTGTGTATGTGGGTTTGTATGTATATAAATTACATTGCGACGTCCTAGAACCGAAACGACTGAACCGATTTTGACAAATAAGGTGTTACGTTTACGTCTATTCTAAAATAGAAAAATGTCATATATACTATTAGTTTAATTTATTGACTTAAAATCTTTGTTTAAAGTTCAGCTAATAGATGGCGCTATTTCTACCAATAAAATGTCAGTAGGGGTTTTTGGCTTTTTAAAATTAGGGTTAATTTAAATTTATTGAATGTGTTCTAACAAAATTTGTACTTGTTAAGATAAGCAACAGCGTTGCCTGTACAATGACTAAGTTGAACACATACTGCCTACTGTTCTTTTATAACTTTATGTTTTGACGTAAAAAACGAAGGCTCTCATTTCCAATTCAATTAAGATCCAATAATAAATGACCTTTAAAAATATTACATAAGACTAAAATATTAACGTGAAACCGACAAAATATGTTTGGCAAACACGCAGCGTCCGTGAATTTTTACATAAAACCGAAGCTGCACTCAGCGACCTTCACCCCGCGTCCCCCTGCTTACCCCTTAGCCAATCAATAGCGTTAAAGTTATGCGTCTTTGTGCCGGCAGACGAAGCTTTGGTACTAATGTTAATCCCACGTACTGTTGGCTTCAACCTTGTAATAAATACTTGTGGAATATCTACGAAAATCTATTAAAATAATCGTAATTTAAGGAAAAATAAAGTAAAATGAAAAACACAGAGTTACAACAACTTATAGACAGTTTCAAGTAACATAAATATTTTATCTAACTTATTAGAATCTTAGTTTAATCTCTCAAAGTCTATTTGATTTGAGATAGAACCCTCATAAGTAACATGAGAAGAAACTAAATTCCTGTCCTTTATAACTAATGTTTATATCTTTGTTAAGTGAACTTCACGCCGCCAATTATTTACGGAAAATTATTTACGGAAGAATTGTTGGTATAATTTATGTTGAAACTTACCTCCAGCCAAAAGTCGTATATGTATGAAAATAATCATCAGTAAATTTCTAATTACAATGAATTTATCATTACGCTGTAGGAATATTTTCTTTGCAGTCTGTCCTTAATTAAACAGTTAATTTATGAATCAACTCATGGCCACATAACAAGCATAGAATTATGAATAACATGATAATCTTTAATTAATAGTATAATGTTCACATGACATAAAATTTGTTATGATATCATAGTAGTCGACGGTTTAGGGTCTGTCTGAAACTTTATATAACCGATCTACGAATGTTATTTATCGAAAAACCCAGAGAAAGCCCCACTTTTCCACAAAGACGGAAGCAGACGCACCTAGCTACAAGCCACACGGTCATATCCAACACAAAAC